TTTTTCGTGTTTTTCTAGTAAATGAACCTTTGTTTGAGTACATTTTGTACACTTACCATTTAAAAATAAAGTGTACACATACATTTTGTTTTAAGAAAATAGAGTGTACAGTACATTGTATTTTAGATTTCCATTAGAAACGCTGGAGAAAGGACTGGGGCATAGTAAAGATTAGGAACCTATTTTACGATGAACAAAAATAAGAAGAAAAAACTCTTGAGAAAATTATAAATAATCTAAAACTATATTTTTCATTCCATCAATTGTTACGAAAAATCATTCGTCTCCAATATCAGTTATTTTTACGAAAGCTTGTGTTCAATTTAATAAGTTTATACCATCTCCACAATTCCAAATCGAATAAAACTTTCATAGCATATCCTTACATCGATATAGTGTTAGCGGGAATGTTTTCGGGTTGAGCTAAAGGTTTTTATCGAAAATATTTGACACTCAAAATGAAACTATGTATAGAGTAGAATTGCTTTACAGTGATTTTTCAGTTAAGAAAAAGACCTTTCCATGTTAAAAATTCCCATGTCTATCTGGTCTATGGAAAAATGTCCATTGTAGGAGGGAGAGAGTCAAAGAAATTTGGTTTTTACTTGGCTATCCTTTATGGATGGTTTCGTATAAAAATATATAATAGTTTTGGTAAAAGATAACATCATTTTCATGAGTGTATTTAGATGAATTTGTTTCTTTTCTTCGTTTATTATGAAATCAAATTTATCGATATAAAAAAAAAAATTTTTTTTATTTCAAATTATAAAATTTAATTAAATTCTATTTCAAATTTTTGCATTTTTTCCATCATATGTGAATGTATGGTACGTCCCACAATGAGATATTTGAATCTCTGTTGGAATCTTCCATGTTTTGTTTGCGAAAGGTTTTTTTCGTTGGAATTTTTCAACTACAAGCCAAAATGAATTAAAACTTGAAAAGGTTAGAAGATACAAATTCGTTTTTCTTTCGCAAAATATTCGCTCACATTCTTCTAAAATAAGAAGTTTTACGTCTGTACCAAACAAAACCTCGATAAAATCCGAATCTGTTTACTTCTAGGATCGTTCTCAGTCTGACCAATTCGAATTAACTTGACTAGATTTTAAGTTTGTTTTAGCAGTAATTTTTGTTCGAATGATTCTATTTTTATTAGAAATCATCAACCAGATTCTTGAAATTTTGCTTCGAATAATTGCGAAATTATGCTGTTATGAATTGTATCAAGAAACAAATAATGACTGATATTTATTCCTGTTGCGATTCATTCTAGCGTATGCAGTATCGAGATGTATCTCAATAAAAATTTTTTTTTTTTTGAAGTTTAATTAACCGGAATCAAGACTCATTATTTATAAGTTTTGGTACGCCGATAGTGCTGCGAATATCCGGCAAATAAATAACTACCAAAGGAATATTGCAGAAAAAAAAACAAGTATTTGACGTGAAAAACTTCTGTTTAAGTTCGATAAGTCTTAATCGAATAAGTGCTAAAACAAGTTCAACAATTCCAATACTATCTCAAATTGGTTAAATAGAGATCGATCCAATTTAATTTCATTTGATATTATAACATGAAATGATAAGTTTTTATTTCTAGAAAATTCAATTGAAATGACAAGTGCTATAAAGTAAATGTTTTAATTTCTCATTGATTTCTAAAATATATTTAAAATAAAATCTTAGTAAAATCTACTAGCTTTTTCTTTATAAATCTAAATGATTTCCATTGAAATATACTTTGGATAATAAGTCATCGTTAAGTTTTAGAAAACTATTACATCATAATCAGTTTATATTGCCAAAACAAAATCAAATTCATCATTTTTTTAATAATATTTTCATCATTAATTTTACTAATTATCTACTGATATTGATCTAAATATAGTACAACATATGTATATCAATAAAAACAAATTCTTCAAAAATATTACATAATAAAAATTCAAGTAACTCTAAAACATAATTTCCTTTCAATTTATGACATACACCATAGATTTGAATGATACTTACTATCATTTCTTTTGCTTATTCAAGTAATTATATCATTGTACTCTATTAACACCATTGGGTTTTTTTTCTAATCTTATCCATCATGTTAACAAAAATAATTTTCTATTCATCCTTTAATTAAGTATTAATTAAGTTTATTTTCTATGTAAAATGTCAATTAAAATAAAAACTATAAATATGATATATATATATATAAACTAGACGTTAGATTCATGTTAAATCATTATTTAATGAATAAATAATTTTTTTTTTTTTTTATAAACTCTTGTAGTTTTAAACAATTAAGAATATGAATATTAGTCATCATGTTATTAGCAAGGAAGTATGCTTTTTTTTTATACAAAATCAAGGACAAGAAAAATATTTACTAATATTTCTTTTTCTATCGTCCTCAAATGACGCATTTGTATTTATGAAACTTGTTTTTTGTTTTTAATTTAATCCGTTTAAATATTGTTCATTTTTTATTTTTTATTAATAATTTATTTTTTGTTCAAAGAAATATACAAGCACATTATTAAAACAAAAAAACAACGAGCAACAAATGCTAATTACCGGTCAATAGACGTTTTACAAGTTACTTTTAGTGTGTCACAGATGATCTCAATACGCTTTGCATGTCAAAAACAAAAAAAAGAAAATAACAGAAAACAAAACAGTGTTTGTAAATACAGATAAAGATAAACGAATAATAAATATATGCGCATGAATATTTCAACTAGACTATAATATATCGAACATGTTGTTATCTTACACTCTTTCTGACCAGCAGAGAAGTAAATAGATTTACCGTCGTTTACGTAAAAATGAATTAGAGTGAGAGAGAAAGAAGAAAAACAAGAAAAATAAACATTCATACACAAACTTACATATCTTATCTGAAGTAGAGAGGCTCAAATAACATACAACAGTAAAATTAAAAGTATATATTTTATAAAGAATATTTTTCTTGTTTACAAAAACAAACAATATAAAATAAAAATGAACAATTCTAGGTTGCGCAACGACAAACTAAATAATTTATGAAAAATATTTTCAATAACTACAACATTTAAGAAAAAAACCTTTTATGTACATTTTTATATGAATGTATATGGCCGTTTTTTTTTCTCATTGACATAAAATTACATTGCACAACACGATCATTGATATATCATCGATTAATAGAAATTTTACTTTGTTTACAATATAGATCGTGTGAGAGAGAAAAAAAAATTCAGCTAATCTACTCAAATAAATGTACAGAAGTTTAATACTTAGATTTTCGATTACCAATAGCAGCCGTTGATATTGGATATAATGATTGATCTTCATAGAAAGGAGCTAATTGATCAATATTCATTGGTGTTGGTGTTGGTGGAGAAGTTGAAAAAGGTGATGGAAACATAATATGTTGTTGTTGATAAATTTGATGTGGTACACGACGATTATTATGTTGAGCTTTACGCACTGGTTGTGGACTTGTATTATATTTTTGTAAGGCTAATGCTTTATATAAACGATTGAGTTTGTAATAATCTACGAAAAAGAAAAAGAAAAAAAGTTTTAATTATTTCAAAAATTATTTTCAATCTTACATGGATAACTTTCAACATAACCACAATAACCACTATCAGATGATTCATTTGATGTTGTACTATTCATTGAATGTGGTGTATCCGAACGTTCAGGTTGACTATGATTTTCTTCATTAAGTAAACCTTCATCGATGTTAATACTATTTTCTAATGGATGTAATTTTAATGGAACATTGATTGGATTTGATGATGCCATATGAAAAACTGGTGCTCCTGGTGATAAAGCTCTTGGTGGTGTAAATAATGGGCCATTATGATACATGGATGGTTGTGTTACTGGATATGGTGATGATGTACGTTGTGGTGTTGAAGCACCCGAATTACTAACTGAATCGCATGGTGAGGAATTTGTTGGAGATGCTCGTAATCGATTAACCATAGGTATCCGGCTTTGAGATAATAATGTATCAAGATCATAATGGTTAAGTTCATTTCCGTCTTTATCAAAACGAGCAACTAATAATTGTTGATTATCTTTTGGACATACATGATTTCCCAATCTAAATCAAAATATAAAACAAATTAAGTCGTGAAACACTTGACATAAAACACTATGCAAACTTGACTCAACTCAAGAAGATTGTTTTTTTTTTTTTGTTATTATGAAATAATAAAATAAGTTACAAAAACAAATTATATTTTCTTTTGTTCTTTCATCATCGTTATGACATATAATGACATCATTGCTCGTGATTACATTGCGCACTAACATTCTACGCATTTTTTGTTGAGTAAAGAAGAGAACGGAAAAAGTATTTTGCACTAACATCAGCATAAGTCTAGTCATGATGATGATGCATACCTTATAGAAACTTCATATGGATCAATCCATAATGTTAAATCTTGTTGGATACCAAGTAACTTTGGTGTAAAACCCAATTTATGACATACTTCAGCAACAACAACATCACAATAATCATTTTCTTTATTGAATTCAAGTGAACGATAAGCTTGTCCTTTGATAGGTTTATCTAAAAACAAAACAAAACAAAAAATCGTCTTAATTTTATCATAATATAACAAAAGATAAATGAATCTTACCAGGATACCAATGTCCCTGATAATGTTCAAGTAAAGTTTTTTCAAGTTGTGTGCGAAATTGTTCGATTGATTCTTCTTTTATTGAACCATATCGTTGAACATAAGAGCACAGTAGTTCAAGTGCAACATTAATTTCTTCCTTCATTGTAATAAATATTTGTATGAGAATATTTTGTAAATGGTAATATCTGCTTACTAAATAAAAATGAATGAATATATTTCGTGCTCTTTATATAGTCGGTAATGACGTGTATTGCAATCTCGTCTTTTCTTTTAGATAAATAGAAAAGAGAAGAAAGAAGAAAAAAAAAAAGAGAAGGGAAAAAAATCGTCATCCGTTTAATGTATGTTTTCAAAAGAGAAGAAGAATAAAACTATGTAAACGTACCTAATAAACTACGTAATAATCAATTCATGATTGCAATGAAGAATTGTAGATTATCGTTTGTTGTTAGACGAGAGAAAAATATAGAAGGAAAGAAACAAAAAAACAAGAGAAAATGTTTTGTTAGTCAGAAAGAAAGTCCCATGGAAATTTCTATGAGTGCTTGAGTTGAGAAGCAATAATGACGTGTTACGATGACAACTTCTGACTCATTTAGAAACAAACCAAAACATATGAAGAAAGAAAAACAACTTGCATCATTACTTATCAATATTTGCGTTACATTTTATTTATTAGTTTGTCATATATATATAAATACTATAACGTTCTTGAATCAAAGAAAAAAAGAAGAAGTGGTTTTTAATTTATTTTTCTATATATCACGTGAATCTCTTGAGACTAATACCGTATATTTTATTAACAAATCTTCTAGATTACAAAGCCGTTGAATATATTTTTTGATATAAGAAAACAAAAAAATAGATTTATCAAAATCTGTTTTATTTTCGTTTCATATTTAATATAATTTTTCTTTCATTGAGTGCAAAGGAAACAAATCAAAAAAGTTCGAATCAGTCACAGCTGTGACTTAAACAAATGTAGAGTATCAACCTACGTATATTCTTGTTTTTTCTCGAATGTGCTATTGCGCCTACGATCAAGTAAAAAGAAAAAAAGTACAACGATGCAATTACAATAACATGCTCGATCAATATATGCAGAAATGTGACAAATAAAGTGCGCCATAACTGTGCAGTCAGCATACCTATGGTATTTTGATAAATATCAATTGAATAGGCGAAAAAATAAAATGACATATTACAAAGAAAATCATGCAGTATATTCTAAACATGTAAACTTTTTACATTTAATTTGAATTGCTTCATAACAATTAGTTTGTAATGAAAAAGAAAAGGACTTGATAAGCTTTTTTTTTTCTTCCTTGTGATTCATACGCTCCGCTTGAATAAAATCAATAATCTATTATCCATTTTTTTTAAAAGCCGCTTAGGAAAAATGCTTATTACTTTTGAAGGGAAAGTGATAGAGACCTGCGGTTTTCATTGTTAGATAGAGCACTTTTTTATCTAATTAACGCCTAAAAATTAGAGAAAGTTAGAAATGAATGTTTAAAAAACAGGTTTTTTATTCTATAACGTTGAATTTGCAGTATACTGCTATAGTATAAGCTGACTCGAGTTCAATTTGTTGATTTTTATTTTGAATATTTGCCTGTGTACGGATAGGAGTAGATACCTTTACGAAGGATACATATAACTCCTGAACTATAAAAGATACCGTCCTGAGACTCATCTAGAATTGTAGATCTCGATCCAGGCTATTAGTTTCGTTATTTGAAAATCAAAATCTGACATACTCTTCGGGAATGACAATCTCGTCAAGTTTGAATTCGAGGGTTTACTATACTAATCTTTACTTGAAGACCTGGTTATTTCAATAGTAATGCGTGCTCTATCCATCAATGAAAACTGCACGTCTCTATCACTTTCCCTTCAAAAGTTATAAGCATTCTCTTCAAGCGACTTTTTTTTTTTTGAAATATTGATGTATGAAAAAAGAATTTTATTATTTGTTAAAATCATGACTAAGACTATTTGAATATCTTGTAAATAAGCAATTATTTTTATAGACTAATAATAAAAAGTAAAATTTTTTTAGGCATTATGTTATGAACTTTACAAGGACTTATTTATTGAAAACTCGCCAAGGACATAACTAATTTGTATTTGTTTTTTTATTAATGTAATTTACTTTTATGATTGAATAAGCAATATGAATCATTCGATTGATTTGTATGATTAAGCCATAGTATTACGTCTTTGCAATTTTTCTAATGATTGCTTTGTTTTAAGGGAAAGATGTTTATATTAAGTATTTAATAATATCGAAAAGACTATAATAATATTTATCGAATTGAATTTTGTTATTTTTCTTCAATGACATGTCTCTAAGTATTGAGAAAAGTAATAATAATATTTCTTAAGTGCATTTTCTATCGATGAATTGTTAACTTTTGATAAATTCATTTACGAAAGAACCTCTTCAATTATTTCCTTCCGATTTCAACGATTTTTTACCTATAGATAAAACATAGTGTTTTAATAACAACCCTAAAAAGATTTCGAAATATTGATAATTTCGAATTGTGATCTGAAATTTTTGCTTATATAGAGAACTCGACTGAACTAACTTTCATAAAATCAAAGTCTCTTCGAGATATGAAGCTCTCAAAAAAAAAAAAAGAAAATGCATGTTGTATAACAACACTATCCATTAAAACGGATCTATATCTTGAAAGTGTTATGTCTCGAAAAGATTTTAGTTAAAATTTCTGAACTTTTTTAAGAAAACCAATATAATTGAGTTCTCTGTATGTACAAAGTTTTAGATCAAAATTCGAAATTATGAATTTTTCGAAATCTTTTTAGAGTTTTTATTAGAACACTATGCAGTATATATAAGCAAAACATCATTGAAATCGAAAGAAAGAATCTGAAAAGATTCTCTTGTTAGTTTACCAGAATACTAAAGGTCACTGAAGATTCTTTTGATACTCCAGTGCAATCAAGTAATTTTTTCAAATCAATAAACATCCATTAAAATTGTCTGTCTATCGCTTATTTTTCACTAAACCAAAACTTAGAAAATTGCAACGAGCTTGTAACACACGACACTACATAAATTCAATATTATTTTTCATTATTTCAAACTTTTTATATGTATAAAATAAACAAAAAAAATAAAATAAACGAAACTATTTCTATTGATGACAGATGCCAACGATGGCAGCATAATAAATCATATTATCCATTGCATCTGCAAGGTACTCTTGAATACATATTTTATCTGACCGAACGTACATTTTTTATGACAAAAAGGAAAAGAAAGAAATCCCATAAAAACTTCGTCCCACTCTATGTCAACTTATGGGATATTCCAAAAAAGGAATTTGTTACACGAGACGGGATGGGCATGTCCCATTCAATGCGAAATGATGCTCCGAAGACGTAATATTGATCATATTAAAAGATGCTCTTACCTATTTATTTAGTTTAAACAAATTCATATTTCTAATACTTCATTTTATTAATTCGAGATGAATTTTACTTTCTTGAGTTGATTTTGTAACTAAAATTACATACCATAAAAGTAACAACTCGTACCATTTGTCTTAAATAGAGATGAGCAATATCAGTTATTTGATTGTTCAAATTTTCAGTTGTAATCAGCTGAATCAATAGAAATAACCCAACTCTATATTAAATATTAAAGTGAACTATTTTCAATTCGATTATCATGATCCAATGTATAATTAAATTAAATTTGACTGCACAAAAGTCTAACGATCTATTCCATATCAGATCATCTTTTACCAAATATAACAGATATTTCTACTTCCGAAATTAACCGTTAATGAAAAGTCTACGTTCATATAACATACTAGCAAAAGACATACACATAACAAGAGAAATAAAGAATACTTAATCAATAAAAAGAGGGAAAAAAAAGAATAAAACAAGAGAAAAATTTTTTTTTTTTTTTAATAACAAGACAGCAAGTTGACGGAAGGTTTGTATTTGCAAGAGGTTGCTGTAGATTAGTAGGTAAAGAAGTTGGCTGTTGAACTAATGGCGATGGATTAGATGATGAAGAATTCATTAATACCGGTTGACTAGATGGTTGTAGAGGAATTGAAGATGCATTAGTCGTTGTTGATGAATTGTTAGGCTCATTTGAAGAAGATAAACCGATAAATATCGGAATATATTGAGCATAAATTTCACTGGGTACATGTTGACGTAGAAATGCATTTTCATGTTCAGCATTATTCACTCTTTCATTAAGTGTTCGAATTTGTTATGT